AACTGAAAAAAATTGTTTTAACTTTTAAGAGTGCCGAACAGTTCGCAATGCATATTTTCGATTTAAATTAGATAACTTTTATCTAATATACGATTTCTGTTTGTTTTTTAATATGAATAGGAAGTTTAATAATTAAAAAAACATTATGAATACACATTAAAAGCAGGTCGGCACGTTTACCTGACGCCGCCAGAGCGTGGTCGTTCTGTTCCAAGGGTGCTCTTCCTGGGTGCTCGAATCAATTACAGCACCGTAAGCGTAAATCAATTTCGGCAGAATCCCCAGGAAATATTTACCACTGGGATGTGGACCCGAAAGTAGAGATGATGTCGCCAAGCCTGATGGAAGGAACAGCCAATCGTCGCGGGGTGCACACATCATGGCCGAATGAGCACAGGCTCGTCTTCAACACATTCAGAGTGTTGGGCCAAGCAGCCAAAGCAAAGACGGATAAGCAGCGGCGGGTTTATCAGCAGTTTCTGTTTTATTTTAATTATCTCATTTTCGAATCACAACTAAAAACTCTTAGTTGCTTAACATTTTGGTGACCCCGACGTGATCATAGCGCGGTTCGATTATTGAGATAAATTTAAAAGTGCTACTTACATAAAATACATAATGGAGTCTGTAGCTGTCGCCGCTCGATCTGCTGCTGCAAGAAGGAAGAGGATGATACGGAGACGAGCAGAAGACCCATAATGAAATGGATCAGAGTGTCAAGGCTGTGATGCGGACCGAGGACTCAACTATTATGACCCTCGAGTCAATGAAGTAGCGTCTGCATGACCGATTTGCCACGCTTCTGGAAGAATTGGAGGAGCTATATCATAGCGAAATCGGAAGTGATTTGTATTGGAAATTCTCTCAGATAGGATGGCCGTGCTAATAGTTTAGATATATTTTATGCGGTGGAATAATAAGGGACTATTTCCAGATAGCGTGAAACGTGGACGTTTCCAAGGAAAGGTTAAATACTTTTAGAAGGACTTTTACCAGAGTGGAAGAGCAGCACAAAGCCCGGTAACCCGTCTAGACCGGCTTTACATTCTGGAGATCCTTTATGATTCCACATTCCGACAAGGTGGGTCAAGAAATAAGATTGGACCGAGTGATATCATAAGTGTAAGTCTGTGCGGTTGTTAAAAAAGGTGAGAAGGTGGTTTGAAAACGTAACAAAAAGATCGGCAATTTCCTGATCCGATTTTCCAAATGATAGCAAAGACGGAAAGGTTTTGGTTTAAGCTTAGTGTTAACGAAACTACAGAACTGTTTCGGATCCAGAGCAAACTGGTTTTTACATCGAGTGTTATGCACGGTAAAGTTAGACCGAGCCACCATATAATGCACATATCTGTCATTGCTACCAGTTCTTAAGTATTTTTTAAAGAGTCTTAGCTTGATATTTTTATACCCGTTACTCGTAGAGTAAAAGGGTATACTAGATTCGTTGAAAAGTATGTAACAGATAGAAGGAAGCGTTTGCGACCCTATAAAGTATATATATTCTTGATCAGGATCAATAGCGAAGTCGATTGAGCCATGTCCGTCTGTCCGTCCGTCCGTCCGTCCGTCCGTCCGTCCGTCCGTATGAACGCTGAGATCTCAGGAACTACAACAGATACAAAGTTGAGATTAACCATGAAGATTCTTGAGGTCCCGGGACAGCGCAAGTTTATTACAGCATCCTGCCACGCCCACTATAACGCCCAAAAATCGCAAAAAACTAAAACTGCTGACATCTCAGGAACTATTGGAGCTAGAAAGTTGAAATTCAGAAAGTATAATCTTTAGATGCTAGCGCATCTTATAGTGGTTCTACTATCCAGCCACACCTACCCATACGCCCACAAGGCTCAAAAGACGGTTTTCGGATTTTCTGGAAAAGTTGATATCTCGGTAACTATAAGAGATAGAAAGTTCGGATCAAGCATGTAGGTTTTTATAATGCTCTCAATGCGAATTGTTTTTTTCCGATCAAGTCACGCCCACTGTAGCGCCCACAAAACCCGAAAAACCAAAAATGCAAAAATGTCAAAAGCTATAAGAGCTACAACATTTTTCTTAGAAACACGTATTTAAGAGATGCCTTTGCAACTTTCCACGAAGTTGCATCCGGCCACGCCTACTCTGACGCCCACAAACCGCGGAAAACTGTGGCGTCTATAATATTATTATGAATGCCTTCGTTTGACCTTGCGTAACTTATTTCTGTTATCGAGTAAAAGTAAACGAGCAGTGAATAAACTAAGTTCGAAAAATTGTAATAGTGATTAAGTGATTAAAAAATAAAAATAGATTTTTTTAATTAAATCACTAGTGAGAAACTTAATTGGCGCCCAACGTGAGCCGTGCGGTTAAAAAATTTTAAAAAAGCAAAACTTTAAAATAAAAACAAAAATGTTTTAAAGTGAAAAGAGGAATTTTGCGCGGCCAAAAAACTCGATACAACCGACGAATAAATAAAGCCTATGCTGATAAAAATAAGGTGGAAATCAATAAATGCCATAATCCCCTTAAACTCTATACAACCGGCAAAAAAAATAAAAAAGTTTGTGTTGATCATAAAACTAAGGTTGAAAATAATTAATGAAATAATCCCCTTGAAATCTCAAATTACAAAATAGTGATCGTAACATAAATTCACTGCTCGGACAATATAAGAATCAAAATTGACAATAAAATTTTCATCAAAAAAAATTAACATTGTGAAAAACAATTAAATTAAACAAATGTTTAAAATTAAAAAATAAAAAAAATCTTCAATTTCAACAACAAAAGACATTTTAAAAAACAGGCTGAAGGGCAATCCCTCGCCAAATATTGGGAAAGAAGGAAGACCCAACTTAAAAACAGACTTAAAAAAGGAAGACCCCGAGCCAAAATCTAAAAACCAAAAAAGGAAGGACGACCCCAATCAGGATCAGCATTACGTCGATTTGATTGTCTAGTAGGAATTGCGCTAACTCGAGCTTATGCTGCGAAACGCCGTTAGCGTTCCACGTAGATTTTCGTAGGGAAGTCATTATTTGGATTGTTGTGAAACCAGCATTTGTATTAATAGATTTTGGTTTCGCATCAGGCCTTACATTGTTGTACGCATAAACGTCATAAACTCCGTAAGGCTTTATTGTAGACTGCATATCATAGCCTCACCTTTTTGGCTGCTCTGGCGGTTGATGCTGCTGAGCCGTGTTCGGTTCTTGGTATAATGATTGCGGCAATGAGCTTTTTGAGGCTGGGGTAGACAGTCCAGAATTTAAAGCACTTGCGTATGTAACATTTTTGGCACAGTTTATGGGTCCTAGTGAGTGCGCAGCAGTGTGATTTCCACCGAAGTTGCCGCACTTTTTTGAGCTGTTGTCATCTTTGCTCGCTGGGCAGTGTGCGGAGTCATGAAGGTCACCGCAAACTACACACACCGGGCGCAGTTTACAGTAAGACCTTGTATGGCCAAATTCTTGGCAGTTCGCACATTGTACCGGGCCATTGCGTTTGTGCGGCTTCTCAACCGTAATTCTGCGGTCCAGCAGGAACTGAAGATTGTATATAGGGTGCACTTCGTACTTCTTTAGGGGCTTAATTTCTGGTACGAGCTCAACCTTAAAGGGTGGCTGCGACTTTCTATCCCTGTTAAGGATACTGTCTTAGCGCTAAATCCCTTCTCTTGTAGCGCCTTTGTTATCTCTGCAGGTGATACTTCGGACTCTATGCCCTTAAGTACGACTTTCAGGCCCTTGCTGCCTTTTAGCTGATACGTGTAAAATTCCTTTTTTTTGTCGGTGAGATATTTTGATAATACTCTATAATTATCTTCAGAATTCGTTTGAACTTTTGTTTTTTGGGTGTTGCCCTTTACGAGTGGTATTATGTGAAAATTGTCCTTGCCAATAAGCTCGATAATTTTGTTGACAAGAACGTTGGAACTTTTTTCTCGTATGTAAATTGGCGGGGGCTTAGTCTTCCTTTTTCGACTTCAGTAGATTCGGCATCATCCTCATAGTCTGCCAAGATTTTAAAACGGTTTGAAATAGTGGGCGTTTCTATTGCAGCTATGTTAGCATTGCCACGGGTTATTTTGCGTTGAGAGTTTAGAGGGCTTAGCTTCCTTTTGATTTGGATGTAGCGATCCATACCAGTCTGCACAGCCGGCTTAATATTTTTTTTGTTTTTATTTTCTTTTTGCCAGCGCAGCGGCAGAAGTATTATTGTTTGCGCTGTTAGCTGATGACGTCGTTAAACGCGCTGTCGTTACAGTTGCGGTTGTTGTTGTTGTTACGGTTGACGTTGTCAAAGAAATTGCGGTGCTGTTGCTGCGCTCTTTGGCTCAGAGACATCGATGGTACGAGGGGAGCAAGAACGTCTCTCGTTTCTATGTTTAAGAATTCGGTCAAGTTTGGGGTAATTGACCGTGTTTGGGAAGAGCTTGCACCAAAAGATTTTTCAAATCGGAACATTATTTCGCTATTTATAAAGAAATTAAGGTTATAAGCCCTAACATGGGCAGTGACGTCACTATAAGCATACTCAACATACTTCCTCTGACAATAGGTGGCGCCTCGTGAATTTCCACTAGCAAAATAATATATTAAAACTTTGTAAAATAGTAACGGGTATCTTATAGTCGCGGCACTCGACTATAGCGTTTCCTCTTGTTTAAATTAGAAAGGTGCCTTGTATACCAAGAGAGTTTATTCGCCGTAGCCGGATGCCGCAACGGAGCAAAGCGATCAAAAATTAGGTTGAGTGTACTATAAAAATATATCGAGAGCAGTCGACATATCGGGACATGCGTAAAAATCGGACCAGTCAAATTCTGAAATAAAGTTATTAATTTTTTTAAAGTCGGCTTTACGAAAACAACGAATTTTTCTTATGAGCGTAATTGTTCTTAGGCATAGTACATAGATGATAAGGATCTTCAGGGTGTGTGAGAGGTGGTGCTCTGTATATGGATACAGCGTTCGTATCAGAGAGAAAGCACAGATCGAGCAAACGACCTAAAGAATTCCCTATATGATTGATTTGAGCCAGTGACATCTCTAACATACTTTCGCCATAGCCGGATTCCGCAACGGAGCAAAGCGATCAAATATTTGGTTGAGTGGACTATAAAAAATATATCTAAAGATATTGTCATATCGGTAAATGCGTAAAAATCGAACCAGTTGAATTCTGAAATATAGTTATTAATTTTTTTTAAAATCGGCTTTACGAAAACCTCGAATTTTTTATCAGCGTAATTGTTCTTAGGTTTAGTACATAGTCCTGTATCGATTACAAGATCTAATGTGGGATGATCTTCAGGGTATATGACAGGTGGAGCTCTGGATATGGATACGGCGCCTGTATCAGAGAGACCTAAAGAATTCCATATATGGTTAAATTGAGCCAGTGACATGTCTAACATACCAGCACTAAAGTCATGAGCGTTAAAGCTAAAAAGTTATCACTTATGGACCTTGCCACCTGGGGTAAGTTAAAGTCACCCAACACCACCAGCTGATCCATGTCCGATAACATTGATAATACAGACTGAATGGCTGCTAGGTGCCACTTATACGTCAAGGAATAGGACTTAGGCGGAATATACGATCAGGTGATATAAAAATTTAACCTAGAGAATGAAATTTTTACTTAGATATATATATGTATATGTATATACCATAGTTATATATATATATATGTGTCTTAATGATCTATGAATGTTATTAAATAGCTTCATAACCAATTCTAGGAACAAAGGACATACATGTGTTTAGGTGAGGGGCCATTGTGCCGCCGCTCATCCACGCGCATCCGCGCCGAAGAGCGCATCCACGCTGAAGAGCGCATCCGCGCCGAAGAGCGTATCCACGCTGAAGAGCGCATCCGCGCTAAAGAGCGCATCCACCCTCGCCCCTCTCTGCACAATCTTGCAATCTCGCTCTCTCGGGTCCAACTGCAGCGGTCGGCCGTCGGCGATCGTCTTTCTTCTTATGCTAAGCTAAGGTAAGTCAGTTTTTTTCTGTATGAAGTGAATAAAGCTGACGGGTCTCTCCACGACACCCCCGACTTCCGCCACCATCTCATCTGCGATCAAGAGGCATCTTTTTGCGGCAACACCGCCCCACTACAACATTTTGGTCCTTCGTGCCGGATTTTCTGGATACTTTGGATATTCTGGATACCTTTTCTACCAGCAGTTCCCGGCAGTGTTCCGCCAAAAGTTGAGAAATAAATACATGACAAAATTAAACTGAAATAACCGCCATTTCACTACAAATCCGTGATTGTGTCGCCTAAAATTTGAACCTCGCCGCCTTAGTAGCCGTGTTGTTTTTTTTTGGTGCTGGTTTTTTTCCTTTGGGGTGAATTACGAACGGTACTTGTCCATTCTCCGTGCCTTTAGCGCAGCTTCTACTCCGCATCAGGCAACATCCGCCTACAATCTCAACAAACCTCGTCTACTTCTGGGTTGTTTGGTTCCTGAAGTTTTGTTTTCACATTCGATTTGTGCCGCACACGATCTTCCTTTCGACATCGGCGCCGCTAGTGCCCACTAGTTCCTTGTGGTCGCAAACCATCCGCGATCTTACCGTTCTCATCACTTTAGTGTGACCAGCCACCGCTTCGAACGAGGCCCCTATTGCGCAAGTCAGTCGCCAAGCGCTGACCAGCTAATTGATTTTTGAGAATGCCCACGGGAGATGACAAAAATCCGCATCCGATCCCAGCCATCAGTTTGGACAGATCTCAATCCGCATCTCCGCGGACGCCTCTTTTGAAGACTAAGGCGACCAGGGCCATTCCAAGGGCAAAAAATGACGAAAACGTCAATACAATCCCCGATCCTTCACAGAGGCAGACTCGCTCCGTTGTAAAAATGGCTCAAAGTGCGGTCGAAGTGGCGCTGAAGACGTTCATCGCTACAACAGATCTAATTAACCAATTTGAGGCCAACATCAATACCCCGGGAGCCCCAGAAACGGAAATAGGCTCCCAATACATGTGCGAAGTCCATCGAGACCAAATTCGGGAACTTTGGGAGAAGGTGGAGAAGTGCTATGAGAGCTGCTCCGATTTGCTCGCCGTGTCCGACGACAATTCGGCCACCTCAGCAGTGCTGGAATCGAAGTACAGCTACTGCTACTCCGTATATTCGAGGTGTATTGCCCAGCTTCGGGAGAAAATTGCCTCCCAATCCACTCAGGCTTCCGTCAATGTCCACACGCCCGCGTCTACAGGCTGTCGGTTACTTCCAGTGGATACCGAGGTCTTTGCGGGTGATTACCTTCGGTGGCCCACCTTTATAGACTTGTTTACCGCCATTTACATCCAAAACTCGCGGCTCACCCCGGTAGAGAAGTTGTTCCACTTGCTGTCCAAAACAAGTGGTGACGCACAAGCCATTGTTGCTAAGGCTCCGCTTACCCATGAGGGGTTTGTCGCAGCGTGGCAAAGCCTCACGGACCGTTTTGAGAACCGGCGGCTATTGGTCAATAGCCAGTTGAAGATCCTTTTCAACCTCCAGGCTATTTCTCAAGAGTCCGGGGTCGCGCTGAGGGAACTGCAAGCCACCATTCAGAGTTGTCCGACAGCTCTAGAAATGTCCGCCATCAATGTTGAGGCTTGGGATTGTCTCCTGGTCTTTATGATTTCCTCGAAGCTCCCCAAGGGTACACTTTCTATGTGGGAGCAATCCGTACATAATAAGACCGAAATTCCGACACGGAAGGAATTAGATAACTTCCTGACAGAGCGCCATCGTACTCTGGAGGCCATCGACGACGTCAGGCCTGGTGGCTCCGGGCAATCTCCGCCAAGGTCGGGGCTTCCTACTGCCCCTGCACGGAGGCTCAATTCGTACGAGACTCGAATGGCTCCGGGCCAAAAGGGATGCGATCTCTGTTCGAGGGAGAACCACCCTATCCGCTTATGTCCGCGTTTCCTACAAATGAACGTGGACGGGCGCTCCGACTACATTAAGAGGGAAAAGTTATGCTTGAACTGTTTTGCCCGAGGGCACCAGCAGCGAGACTGCACGAGCGCCCATACCTGCTTCACATGCCATAGCCGACACCACATCCTCCTGCACCGCGGCAATCCGTTCGCTACCGCTCCAAGTCCGCCTACTCTAGCAAGGGCTCGACCCGCACAAACTGCCAGAAGCACAAACGGCTCAGAGGATCAGTCGGATGTGCAGGTGTGCTTCGCTTCCGGGTCTGGAGCCGTCCTACTGGGCACTGCCCTTATCAACGTGTGCCATTTGGGGTGCAGTTTCCAGGCACGAGCACTGATAGACTCAGGGTTCGAAGCGACGTTCATAACTGAACGACTGTTCAACCTTGTCAAGCTCCCCTTCAAGACGATTCAAGCCCAAGTGTCCGGTCTTAATCACACCATTTCCGCACAGTCTACTAAATTGTGCCACTTCTCCATTCGGTCGCCGTCTAAACCCGGGTTACTTACGTTCTTCCGCTGTTGGCAGGAAATCTGCCATCATATCTGAATCCGCGGGATCGTCTCAAGGGGCTGCCCGACATTCCCCTGGCGGACCCCAACTTCTTTGAAAGCTCCCAAGTCGATGAGTTAATAGGAGCTGACATTCTTCCGTCCATTCTCCTCGGTAATACCAGGGCTAACATCTGCGGGTCGCTTCTCGGTCAGGAAACCATTTTTGGATGGGTGCTGACAGGCCCATTATCTCCAGCCAACCCTCGCAGCGTGTCCGTTTTTTCCCCACGAGTTGGCCGTAGCCTCGGTGACTCGCTGGATCAGCCCCTCGGTGACTCGCTGGATCAGCACCAAATTTTGGGAGGTGGAAGATGTGCCCACACAGATCAGTTCGGAATCGGATTCAGTTTGCGAGCACAATTTTGTCCAGACGACGAGAAGAGACAAGTGTGGGAAGTACGTTGTGACGCTCCCCTTACGCGACCCCGAGCAGAAGGGTTCCGAGCTATCGGCTTCACGGTCCTTTGCTCTTGCTCAGCTCCTGCGTAATGAGCAGCGCCTGAAGAGGGATCCGCCCCATAAGGCCCGCTATGACTCGGTAGTCCAGGAATACATCGATGTAGGCCACATCACCGTGGTCTCTCCCACGAGCAGTTCCGCTACATACTACCTTCCACATCATGCCGTCTTCAAGCCCGAAAGCACGACCACAAAGGTGGGGGTAGTCTTCAATGCTTCTATCCCGTCCGCAAACGCGACCAGTCTGAACGACATTCTGTACGCGGGCCCGGTCTTACAATCCGACCTGACGAGTCAAGTCCTAAAGTGGCGATACTTTAGTTTTGTCTTCAACGCCGTCATCGAGAAGATGTACCGGCAAATTTGGAGTGGTCCCCTAAGCATACTCCGCTCCAACTTATTTTGTTTCGCAATCCCGATGGGGAGATCCGCGACTACGAATTAAAAACGGTCACCTTCGGTGTCAATTGCGCCCCGTTCCTAGCGATCCGTGTCCTGCAACAGCTCGCTGACGACGACGTTCCAATGTCCCTGTCCATTGTGCTGTCTCGTAGCTCTACCCGTAGTTCCAAATCGAACTTCACACCAATTCTGATAACGCTGTTTTGTTTCTTCATCATAGTTCCGCCAGTCATATTCAGTACGATGTCGCCACGTCCACGCAGCGCCCAGTCACTGGAGAGCAGATGTACTCGCGGTACACAGTCCTACCGTTGCCGAGTCTGCAGTAGGATCCATCCTTTGAAGAAATGTCGGCGCTTTCTACGTCTCAGCGCCGAGAAGCGGCTCCGGGCGGTTCTCGTGAACTGGTATTGCTCCAACTGCCTGGCTCACGAGCACTGCGACGGATCGTCCCCGCGTGGGGACTGCTGTAGAACGTGTGGTCAGGATCACCACTCGCTGCTGGACCTCGTAGAGAAGCCGCGGGCTCGGCGCCAGCCACGTCAAGAGGAGCACCGTTCACGGAGCGTGGGAGACAGTTCACGGAGTGTCTCAGCTGGAGCTCAGCCGTCGTCCGTCAACTCCCGGCGCGGTTCGGTTGCTTCTCGGCCGGACTCACAAGCCGGTCCACGGCCATCGACTTCCCGGCGCTCGTCGGCAGCTCCTCAGCATTCAGCCGTCCACCGCTCGTCTGCCCGCGTCATCCGCGCCTAGGCAACTTTCCGCCTCTCGTCAAGGGACCCCGCAAGACGCAGCCGCTGCGCCCACCCTATCGTCGCTGCTGCAGCGGAACAGCGTCAACGTTCTGCCGACCGCGCTAGTGCTCATTGACACCTGGACCCGGATCTTCAACACGGGGGCCCTTATCGACCCGTGTACGCCTTCGAGCTGCATCGACGCATCGCTAGCGGCGTGCTTCCGTCTGCACACCGCTTCGAACGAGGCCCCTATCGCGCAAGTCAGTCGCCAAGCGCTGACCAGCTAATTGATTTTTGAGAATGCCCACGGGAGATGACAAAAATCCGCGTCCGATCCCAGCCATCAGTTTGGACAGATCTCAATCCGCATCTCCGCGGACGCCTCTTTTGAAGACTAAGGCGACCAGGGCCATTCCAAGGGCAAAGAGTGACGAAAACGTCAATACAATCCCCGATCCTTCACAGAGGCAGACTCGCTCCGTTGTAAAAATGGCTCAAAGTGCGGTCGAAGTGGCGCTGAAGACGTTCATCGCTACAACAGATCTAATTAACCAATTTGGGGCCAACATCAATACCCCGGGAGCCCCAGAAACGGAAATAGGCTCCCAATACATGTGCGAAGTCCATCGAGACCAAATTCGGGCACTTTGTGAGAAGGTGGAGAAGTGCTATGAGAGCTGCTCCGATTTGCTCGCCGTGTCCGACGACAATTCGGCC